TTAGCATTCAAGTTCAGAAACGCGTAGTAGACATGGGTTATCTTTGAGGCAGGAAGCGAAAGAGGTTGAAATTGCCGTTGGTAAATGCCCCTGAGCCTGTTAACCAACAAAATCAGTGCAACCTTCGACTGACCCACCAATTTACAAAGTAGACCGCGTTAACATAACCGCCGCCATTGCGGATGTTGTTCATGGAAGCCGTCGCGAGGGTACTGAGTAGCGCGACTGGTAGCCATATACTTGCAAAGCTGATCTGCATGTCTGGCCGCTGAGGATTGAAGGGTATGTCGCGCTGTGGTCTTTGTTGGCCGACTATTTAAATTTGGACATATCCGTTACGATACGATACTGTACTATACCGTTTTTATCTGCGCGTACTGTCGTACAGTGGTAACATGTGCCGGTTTACTGCTGCGGTGCTGGCACCAACACATAAGAGGCGGTATTCGGCTGAAGTTCTCCAACTCCTCCATCACTCATTTCGCACGGGATGATTTTCGTACATCCAGGTTTCATATTCTTACAAGGCGTCTGTAGATCATATTAAAAGATGTCGGCTCTTTACATCTTGACATTTGCACTTCTAGCGGATGCTTGTGATTGGAACTCTAGCATTGGGCTTTGGAAGGTAGCAGAAGGAGAGTGTCTCGATCTTGCGGCGGGTGCCTTAGGCCTACCAATTGGGGAACTTGTGGAACAAAATCCGACCCTTGAGTCGCCAAATGACGTGACAGCCGGGGAACTTTACACAGTGCCCAATCTTCCTGCTCAGTCCCCGGCAGCCTGGACTTCTTCGAGCGGTTGCACTCCCATTCTTGAGCTGCGAGGCTACTTGACGAAACAGTCTTCAACTCCTCCTCACGACACCAATTATGTCTCCGTGACAAGTACAGAAGCGGGCGTCTCTTCTATGGACGAGACCTTCCGGCGTGACCCAACGCCTTCGCGATCTCGCGCTGGCTCATATGCGCCACACTTCCCATATCACATCCCAAATTCAACTTTGGCGTCAAACACGACAATTCAAACCTCGTTTCACACCGGTTTACCAAGTGAAACGTACCAAGGGGCACAAGCGTGCCCTATACCTTCCGCAGATCTAAAACCCTTTCAAGGTCTGAAATGTCGCCGGACAGGTTCCCTGCCCACCGAAAAGGACGCGCAAGAGGCATATGCCGTCCGCTTCTGTAAGCAGCACGAGCATCAACAACTGGATAATGAAACGGACAGTATACAAGTATCCTATTGGAGCGGATATAACAGATTTTACCGGTACACTATCAGTTGGATACCAAACTGCACTTTGAGAAGAACTCAAAAGACTCAGCAGGACGAAACTCCTGAAGGACCTGGGACAAATTGTACTCACATCATGATACAAAATTATCAGTCATGTACGTTCCTGTCTATGAACTTCCTGTATTCGTATGTTTAGGCGCTGATAGGTCTGGTCCTCTAGGCCGCGAGAACCCACGTCAGGGTGGCTTCACGGATGTCCAGTGTTTACGATATGAGTATCAACCTGACACACTTCGGGCGTAGTACAGGCACACTTTCTGGAAAAGCCGCAGCCTCTGAAGAAATAGAGCAAGGCTCACTGCTGAGTACCCGTGCGATAACGTGTCGCCAGTCAACAAGCACGTGCAGAAAGGGAGGAAGTGGCCAAGATCGTACCTGCAGAGCGTACGGTACGTGGCGCATGATCGCGTAATGGCGTTGTACATTCGCATAGCATTCGTTAAGATCTGGCCGCTACTAAGGTCCGGATGGCTTCCAACGCTGGCAAGGACCTGTCTAGTTCGGTGACGCACTTACGAGCGACGTCTTCATAGTATCTAACCGCATTTGAATGATCTTTGACCTTCTCCTCCAACAATATTTGGGCGCTGCTCAAACGCTCGTTTTCAGCTTCGAGAAACTGCGCACGTTGCGATTTTGCATGCAAGGCGTCTCTTGTCTGATTAAGTTGAATGGACAGGTACTCATTCTCCTGTCGAAGTTGCTGAATTATAGTGGTGAAGTTCTCATTCGCAGTAGATAGCTGCATCGCGTCAAGAGGCTTGCCGTTGACATACCAGGCGGTACGTACCGAGACCGGGGCGCTCGGCCGATTGGGGGGCTCTCTTGCCACAGCTTCGAAACCCTTTCCTACCTCGCTAGAAAGAAGGCGATATGTCCCAATAGAATGCTCACTCAAATTCTTTGAAAGGATAGATGCATAGAGTCCTTCATTTCCAGGCAGTATTTTCCAAAAATATGGGTCTTTCGGTCTGGGGTTCAGTCGTACTTCCGTTGGCTGCACTTCGAAGCCCAATTTATCTCCTGAGTTCGTTAGTTGTTGGTTCGACTTCTTTGGCTATAAGGCCTCACGTATGTGTTTGGCTAACTCCACGCGACATTCGTCCCGTAGACGCCGGCGATCTTCATTGCTTTGTCGAGACAATGACATGTTAAACCTTGATCAGGCGTACTGTACATAACACTAACATTACAGCAGGTTGGGGGACGAGGCGGCTAGTCTGTCTTGTGCCGTATGACCAGGACCGCTCGAGAGTGAAGAAAGGCTTCGTCGACAATCATCGAATTCTGCAGCCTGCCAATCAAAGCGGGCACCTCAGCCGCTTTTCCAACTGCTAGCCACATTGTGAGCCATTTCGTGATGCTCGGTTGGTACAGTAGAGTATAGTAAGTAGCTCTCTATCTTTCACCTTCGTGCAGGGCAGTGCCACTGAGCGATGACGAGAGCCGGATCCTGGCAAACCTGCCCGCCAGACGGGGCCAAGGGCCTCCAATGGATGTGGGCTCGCCAGACGACTCAACGGAAGTACAGCGACAGTACAATAGTTAGTCAGATTCTGGCTTTGTGCCACGCCAAGTGAAGCACGTCTCAACAGTGACTCCGGTTCCGTTGCGGGGCGCATCGAACCTGAAAGAGGCATCACAATCTCCAGGACCGGGTGCCAAATCGGTTGCGATGCTGGGTTAAGCTGTGCAAACCGCTCGTGGAGGCTGACCACATTGGTGTCGTGAGAAGAGGCTGTCGTGGAAGAGGCTGCCGTAAGAAGAGGGTATCGGCAAGCCAGAGGAGGGTGTCACAAGAACATGTCTCGCCAGGGTCAGGGAAGGTAGTGTTGTCGAGAGGTGGTGTCGCCAGGGGACAAAAGAGGGTGTTGCCAGGAGCAAGTGTCAACAGGGGACATCGAATTGGTGTTGTCACAAAAGGGTGTCGAGAGGGGGCGAGAAGAAGGTGTCGCCAGAAGTGGGTGTCGCCAGGGAAAGGGAAAGGGTAGTGTCTCCAGGGACCAGAAGAGGGTGTTGTGAAAGATGGTGTCGCCAAGGGACGAAAAGACGGTGCCATCACAAGGTGGAGTCACCAGGAGAAGGTGGTGTCACCAGGAGAAGGTGGTGTCACCAGGAGAAGGTGGTGTCACCAGGAGAAGGTGGTGTCACCAGGAGAAGGTGGTGTCACCAGGAGAAGGCGGTGTCGTCTGCAGCCTGGACGCGAGTGTTGGTCGAAGGTTGTGTCGACAGGGAATGAGAAGAGGGTGTTGTCAAGGTGTAGCCAAAATTGGGTGTTGCCAGGGCATCAAAGGAGGGCGCCGTCATCAAGAAAGTGGTTTCGACAGGGGACGGTAAGAGGGTGTTGGCAGATGGTCGCGTAATGCACCGTGGCGGGGACACCTTACCATGTGACAAAATATCCAGAACTGACTCTGGCTCTCCATGCTGACCTTGCAGGGCATATGGTGTGAAGCTCGCAGAACGTGTGGTGTGAAGCATGCAGGCTTGCAGGACGAGCGGTGTGCAGCAAAATCGGCCTACAGAACGTGTGGTGTGAAGCCTGCAGGATTGCAGGATGTGTGGTGTGAAGCTCGCAGGACGTGTGGTGTGAAGCTAAATCGGCTCCCTGGGCGAGTGGTGTGAAGCATGCAGGCTTGCAGGACGAGTGGTGTGAAACAAAATTGGCTTCCACGTCGAGTGGTGTGAGGCTTGCAGGATGAATGGTGTGAGGCATGTAGGCTTGCAGGATGTGTGGTGTGCAGCTCGCAGAACGAGTGGTGTGAAGCGAAATCGGCTTCCAGGACGAGTGGTGTGAAGCTCGCAGGACGTGGTGCGTGAAGCATGCAGGCTTGCAGGACGAGTGGTGTGAAGCTCGCAGGACGTGGTGCGTGAANTGCGTGAAGCATGCAGGCTTGCAGGACGAGTGGTGTGAAGCTCGCAGGACGTGGTGCGTGAAGCATGCAGGCTTGCAGGACGAGTGGTGTGAAGCGAAATCGGCTTCCAGGTCGAGTGGTGTGAAGCTCACAGGACGTGTGGTGTGAAGCACGGGATGCGAATGGGGGCAGAGGAATGCGAAGGAGACAAAGAAGGATTGCAGCCGCTTCTGGATCGCCGTGAACGCCGACTTGTTGCACATTGCCCAGGACCTGGGGTAAAACCAGGGTGGGCACATGGGTGCAGACAAGGATCCGTGTCCCCTGTCATTCAGCCCTCCAGCAGCTTCTTGGCTTCACACCATCAACCTTCACCCCGCGATTCTCCACACCATCGCACCGGACACCCTGTCCAGCGTTTGTCTGCAACGCTGACACCCTCGTCTGAGCGCCGACAATGGCTCTTCTGAGTGGGCAGGAGAGTTAATCCGCAACTTGGCCGTCCATCCTCCATCGTAGAAGCCGCTGCAGTGTATCGAGGAGCCGAAACTTGCGTCACATGAGAATTGGGTAAAAAAGGCCACGGAAGGGTCTAGGACCGATGCCCCAGACCCTCTATGTCCAGCCTGTGCTCTCATCTTCTCCCGTCGCGCTCCTCCACTGTACTTCGCTGTCAGTCTGCGAAGAAGCAGTGTTGAACAGTAAGTAATTGGCCAGTCACGACAACATATACCACCAACATTCGCCGTTGGTATCGTCCTGCATCAAGACATTGCGATCTGTCCGATATCGTCAAATTCTGAACAAAGCGCCGTCCGAATTTGCCCTTCATCGATTCTTTGAACCCCGCGGCAGTATTGCACGCAGAACGTCGACCAAGCTGCCGATTGAAGTGTTAAGCTTGCCATTCGCCATGACTTTCAACGTATGGCATTTAGCCGAAGCCTCACTGACGGTTCGTACTTGGCTAGGGAAAGCACCATCCGCAGTCTCCAGATACCGCCACGAGCTTGCCACCAAGATCGTGGACGGCCGGTCACGATTGAACCACGGAGCGACGAAGACATACAAAGGCTACCCAGGGAGGGCTTGCCGCAACCTTGCCGTCGACTCGCGAAGCTACTACACCTCCACGCCGACGTGCTGTATGCTGCGGCAGGCCGCTACTCCCATAAAGAAGGGTACGCTGGTCCCTTGGACTCGGACGAACAGCCCGAACTTGCTAGCCGCGCTCACCGATTCAATATCACCGGATTTTGCCTTTGAAGTTCTACTTCAGTATCCTGATGGACAGGATTCGTTGCGGCGGCCTGCACTCGTCTCATCTCTGGGCGGCGACCACTGGAGTCAAGGTTCAAATCAGAGTTCAAAGTTCCGAACTATACACGTGACTCCCCGAAAACATATCTTAGCACACCATGATGCTCTTCGGACGGGTTCAAGTTATAGCACTGAAGCGTATCCGTTGGGCAACAAAAAGGGAGCAGCGGAACGGTTGACCAACGTGACCCGCATGCAGAAACGGAGGCAAGAGGCGCAGTCGGGGACAGCAACTATAGAACGCCGCGATGCGCCCTTAGGCGGCACTGCAGCCCGATGCAGATGCACATTTGCCCGTGCGATTCTACAACAAGGCAAATGGGTTCGTGCCTTGTTCTGCCTTGTTATGTCACCATACTGCGGACATTCCAAGCTAATTTCTGGGCCAAGTTCCAAAAGTAATATCTGCGACAATGCAGTCTTCCTGAATGCCGTTTCGTCCTGAGCTGCGGACTTTAGCAAACCAGGCACGAACACGGGGCTTCACATAGACTCGGCAAACGACTACCACCGGTCGCCCATTATAAGACACTCAAGCTCTAATTACGGCATGTCCTCCTCATCAAATGCGGACATCTGGTAATCTCTGACGAACCGCAGGTCCCGAAGCAGACTGGCAACAGATAGTCCAGGATGGTTGTTTCCACGTGAAGTGCCATGCAACGTTGCCTAATCCCTTGCCCTGGGCAGCTACATCTGGGTCGTCGATGCTGCCAATGTCACCCGTCAATCCATGGCCAGAGAGCAGTAACGGCATCGTCATTGTCAGTCCCGAACACAGTTCGGGACGGGTTGAGGTCGAGCAAGTTCTGACGCCATCATTGAGCAACCACAGTAAACACTTCGGGAAAATTGCTCTGTAGCCCGAACAGTACAGTATAGTGTGATTTTGACCATTCCACTCTTCAGTCTATATCTGTCTCCTTGCCGTCCAGCATGCCCTTCGTTGTCGCCGGCCAGAGTCAGCCAAACTGGCGGGCCAGGGTAAGAAGGAGGAAGACAAGGGCCAACGCTAGAGTACGCTGACTCAGTTGACTTCGACGAGGAGCCCAAACGTACTAGCTGCACTGCACCCGACTCATTGGCAACCGGATTTGCCCTGTGTTCGGTTACGATGGTGGACAAGCTTCGTCACTGCAGCCTGCACACATCTGGGATACAGACCCCACGTCAAAGTTCCAGTTTAAAGTTCCAAGTTCGACACTCTACCCGAGACTACGGCAAACGCCTGTTGGCACAGTGTTTTCGTGTCCGACAAGGTCAATTTTACGGTCTCAACAATTGTCAGGCATGGTTTCAATGTGCACATTTGTTGCTGGAAGGCGGACATCCGAGAGGCTTACGAGAAGTCAAGGAAGCCCCAGATCTATGCAATTGATGGTCATCTCCATTCAGTCGTACATAACCACGCAAGCTGAACGAGCCCCCGCTACGTTCAAAATTCCGCAGATATGGTCTGTTGGTGTCTGAGATTTTTGCCACTGGGCAGCGATGAAAAGCGATGCTCCAACGCGTCCTGGAGCTGCTGGACGCATCGCGCACTGAAATGAAGGAGATGAGGCTTTGGAGTCCGTTTCGGCAGTACAGCCCGCGTGACAGCCGAGCCACAATTCAGGCATCGGCGCAGGGCGGCGAAGAATAGACTGTCAGAGATGATTGTGTTTATTGCATCGCCGTGATAGACCGTTGGACCTGCGTCGTTGCCCAAGCGGATCCTTCCTCCCTCTGGCGGCAGAGAGCATGCTCATGCCGGTTTCCGCGGAGACCGTGATCGCGATTTTGTTCGCTTAGCAGGAGGCTCGAAGTCAACAGGCGTGAAATCCCGTGAAAGGGGGTCATCCGAACTGTCAGACTCGTAGGTGATTTGCGCGTTCGATTTGGTATGAATCACCGTTGTCTGGCTGGTGATTATCGTGTCGGCAACCGATGCTTCGCTGGTGAAGCTAGACGTCAAGCCTTCCGCGTCCTGCGACGGCGAGGCACCGATGTTTCGGGGTACCCTTCCGTTTGCCTCCTCAATGGCATTGTCTCTCTCTTTCTTTGCCCAGTCCCGCAGGTTCCGGTACGCGCCAGCACCTTGTCGGAAGGTATCGGCATCCCCAGTTAGGCCCCATGTTTTAATTTGTGTCATGACAAAGCCGCATCCTCTGTTTGGACTAGATGCTGGGATGGGATGACTTGTGTACATTTTCAACTGCCCTCCGTGGTAGACAGATGTAATGGCATAGGCCTTATTGTCGAGTCTTGGCACCTCCCCGTATGATTGGACGCTATGTATCGCTCTGGCCCCGAGTGCTCCGTCATAACACGCTTGTCGGGTTGCAACTGACAACGATCCGTCCGGACCCTTCACCGCCAAGGAAAAGTTTGGCACTATAGGGAGATCCTGCTGGGTAGATGGTATTATCATCCTGTTCAATTCACTGCGAACAGTTCTGTCGAGCTGTTCGGGGCGCGCGCCGTAGTAGAGGTCGGGGTTGCCGGGCACAAGCGTGCCATCCGTCAAATGGCCAAGGTTGGTGAACGGGATCTGGCCGGCAACACTCTTCCTATCTCCAGCATTGCCCTCTATTACTGGGATCACCGTCGTTGTGACGTCCCTTTCTTTGGCTGCATGGGCATCTGCACGTTCAAACTTGCGAAAGTCGTCGGTTGTAAACTTGGATGGAGAGAGCGAGCCCCTAGGCGCGGCCAGAACCCGGCGTAGCTCATCTATGTTGTCCGGTTCTGGCGGCAAACGGCCGTCAGGGTATTCGTACCCGTGAGGGAAAATGGCATGGTCGATCAAGTGTTGTTGGAAGGCGCGGTCATATGGACCAGTACTCTTCGTGCTCGTGGTGTTCGGGGTAGTACTGCTCTTTGATAGCGGATTCGAACTCTTCTTCGCTGGCGACCGTGATCCTCTCTTTCGCCGCCGCGAAGACGACTGGCTTGAGCTCATCTCGCCCCGAGCTTCTACAGGTATACCGTACTGCTCAATCGTTAGCGGTTGATTAGCGACGGATCGGGAAAGCAAATCTTGTGCATACCCCTCGAATATCCTGCAGGTCGGGACCGCCTTGTCTGGCAGAACGTTTCAGTTGCCGCAAACAAGCTGGAGACAGTTCCTCAACGAAGCGACCGGCGTGAATTGTCCGTGGCGATGCACGGGCGTAAAGGTTCCGGGGTTTCTGGCCGTAATTGAATTGCGCGTCCCTCCGCTCTGACTCTCGCAGCGCCCTCCGTGTGAGCGGGATAAATGATAATCGATCCCAGAATCTCGGTGGAGGGAATGCCGGGTGGTCGAACTTGCGCCTCTTGAGCGACAGGCCGCCTCGTTCGTCTCGTTCGTGTTCCGATTCGGCCGAAGCCGAAGTCGCGTGGCGTTTGCGAAGAACAGGCGTGCGTCGACCTGCTAGCGGACCTTCGGCAGGAAACATGTTTGATGGCTCGACAGATAGTCATGGTGGTGCAAGGCTTTATTTATCCAGGTGACTGGTGGTGACAAACCCCGTTTTGCTCAAGTGCCAGGGCGTCAAACGATGACATGTCATCATGCGCAATGCCCCACTTTTGTTTGAAACCGCGCCCTTGACGACCAACCAAAAGTAGGCGCTTGCGAAAGGTCACACCTGCAGGCCGGCCGAGGACCACGAATTCATTCACGCACCCAGCGGCGCCAACCAGCTTCGACCGTGAGTGCTATCTTGGGCGCTTCATGAAACAGAATGCGCCCACTAATGCCATTTGATTGAATCTATGGTTTCACAAAATTTGCTGTCCAGTTTTGATATCCGTCACGCCCTGGCAGTCCTTTGATTCAAAGCTCATCCGTTTGGGCGACGAGCCGCACTTGCTTAGTGCCACTGATGCCCTCAACTCGGATGATCTGTCTCCTTGCCGTGGCCTTTGCTCTGTCTCTCTGGGTCTTGTATTACAGTATCAAGTTGCTTTGAACGGGAACATGGGTATGTGGAGACCACCAAGGTGGACCACCAATGGCACTCGGAGAAGTCCCATCATCCCGCACGTCGTCAGGGCGTCTCATTGGACAGCCTTGTTTGTGAATGGCAAAGCCAGCTGTCGAACCCAGCGCGCCACCAGAGATGATGTCACCATTAAGTGAAACTTTATCATGAGTATATTGTAAATACTTTGATACGGCTGCACTGTAAAATTGTTTGCGTCTGTGGGACAAGATGCTCCGGCATTGCAAGATTGTGCTAGTAGTGCTGACTTTGCCACTGCCCCGTAACAGAACAATGGGCCGTGCAGTATTAGTGTGTTCCACCGCCAACAAGGGAACCCCAACACCCGGCAACGGGAAAACGTTAGTCCGGAAGTCGCCCTTACCAACTTCGTTATTTGTACCCATGTGTCCCCGTCAACCTAGCCGTCGCCGTTTCAACAGTGCATGTTGTGGCACACCGACAGCAGGCAGCAATGGCCCTTGAAGATATTGTGCAAGATGTCTGTGTTGATAAACCTCGCTGCAGGTTGTGTCAATTTCGCTTCGAAGACGACGAGTCGCTGGTCGCAGGTACATCCCCCGCAGAGAATGTAGAAACGACGGTTGGCCTTGACTTACTGGTTCCAGCTTACGACGACAATCGTATGTCCGGTACGTTCCGGTTCCAACGAAATCATACGCACCAGGATGAGTCGGTCAATATTGCATTGCACATGTGTTGCCAAACTCGCTGCATCAGGAGCAAACGCCGCGTACCCTGCTTCCACAGAGAATGCTTTGACTTTCGAACGATTCCAATATCATCGAATTACCTCGAGGCCACCAATTATGACTTCAATCCGCCGATTCAGCTCGAATTGCGAAGGCAACGTCGCGTCGAATGGGCAGTGACGAAGAGACTGAAGCGCACCCTTCTGGCTCGAATTCCGCAGGAGCTTTGCCGTGTCATTGCTAGGTATACCATTCGTGGACTGGCCGCAGTCGCTCTTCAAGAACGTGCAAAGGATATTCAGCCAGCTATTTCTTCAATAGACCTTGCGCGGGACGTCTACGCCACGTATACCGACATCGAGGGCATTAAGTATATCCAGTCGGTGCGCAACTCACCACAAATCGATTGCAGCAGCCAGCGCATATACGAAGCCCAACAAGCACGTGTAATTCGGAGCATTCGCATCGAATATGACCATCTAGGCATCAGGAGTATATATTTCGACGCACCAAACGGTCAGCCAGAATCATCCCGGGATCGATGCGGGGTATGGTGGACGGAGATGGTGCGAGAGACCGGCCTTTCGCGGATCACGACGAAGTCTGACGTGAGATGCCCCCTTGCCCAGTTTTCACTGCCCACATTTAACGCCGCCGCCGCATGAAGGGGATGAAACTCAGAAGGCTGGTGGACACCACAGAATCCCTGTCTGCGCCTTTCTCCCCGGTGTTAGGCCAAGGTTGGCCAGTGCCCCAACTGGTGTGTCGGTTACTCGACCTGGACAGTTGCGATACCGCCAAAATCTCGCCAAAAAATCTGCGGATGAGCTCTCTTGCATGCAACACACCAAAGACGAGCGGGTATTGTGTCGCAATTTCTGGATTCCGCATATCAAAGGTATACGCGCATCAATGGGATACCAACCCATCCTTCTACAGCGATTTAGACTGCGATTCGAGCGGCACGATGTGGATGTACATGCCTGTTGATAAAGAGGAATATTTGGCACAAATTTGGGCCATCAAGCATCCCGAGTCTGGTCTCGTGGGGCTAATAGTAAGGCAGGATTGTTAAACGATGGCACACCCACGCTGACATGATGCATTCCAGTTTCGCACAAATCAGGACAGAAAAGCACTGTTTGGGCGTTATATCGTCCACCCGAAGTTCCAGCTCCAGTTCCATCTCATCTACACCACAACAGGAAGGCCCTCCCGGATATATTTCAACGAGTGGGATCCATTTGAAGACGAAAAGCGTCTCAAATACATCGGAATCGAGAGCAACGCCACGGGTACAGGACAGGCTACAAACAAACTCTTGAAAGCATCTCGAAGCATGTGCCCCCTTCCCCGTACAGTCACACCGCCACCTTACACGCAGTACAACGAGCCGTGGTACTACACGCACTGCATGTTGGAGGGAGTTGTGGATATTGCATGCTGCGTCGACATGACCATTTCACAGAGACCTATTATCGGCATGCTCATGTACTACGCCAGTGGCCATCGTGCTTGCATAGGACAATGCCGGCTAGACTGGGTGCTCGACAAGTCCCGTGTTGATCCCGCGATTTTGCTGCGCATTGGCCTGGCAAAAACACGAAAAAACTTTCCCTATGTCGCGAAAATTTGCTTCAGCGAACAGGCCGCTACGATATCCGACTCTATTTCCTGGATGGACGTTCCTTGGCATGGCAAGCTTGAGTGGTGGTTTTCACAACGTCAGTGTCAACTATACCATTGTGACTGAATTCCATTGACTCGTCGAACTATGACCCCGCGTACAAAGTGAGTTGACGAGATCGCTATGCAATTTCGATGTCACTGATGTAAGTAGTCCTCTTACCGTGATACGCCCATACCTTCCTCCCGCCATGTTTGATCTGTGTCCATTCATCCCTGACTGTCTGCCTGGTCTTCCCCTTTACATCTTTGAATATGTACTTGTCTGGGTGGAACATGTGTGTCTCCCGTCGAACCTTGATCTGGACTGGCTGATCCGACTGCTGGCCAGCGCTACCGGCGATTGCAGCATCAGCGCATTCAGGGGGTAGCTGATACGTGGATGAAGAAGGTAGGAAGCCGCCAGAATACTCGTTGCTTTGGTCGTACAACTTTTGGCTGCCTGTGTAGTCCAGGTTCTTATCTTCAAGGTCCGCCAGAGACTGACTCGGGAGGGTTGGTGCTGATCGAAGCGGCACCTCTTGCTTGACCATATTGAGACACTGGGGTAGAACCCAAGCATTTTCTGAAGCGGCGTCGATGTACTGTGTACGATCTGCGAATGTCGCTTCTCCGTGAAACGGCGTAAGGGCAACTGCGTCCGCTTCATAGAACCACACGCGGAAGGACAGCCCCACAGTGGTCATCGTGTAGATGAACAACAAGTTGTCTGCCTCGATGCATCTTTTGGCTGCGTCCAACGCCTGAAGCTCGACGTCTCTGATGCTGCCGCTCGGCCTTTTACACTCCATCCAAAGTAGAGCAGACATCGTGTGGTGGCTAGCGTCGTAACGTTTGACCACAGCATCAATTCGCCTTCGAGAGCCGTCCGGGGACACTTCGCACGTGACAGCATAGATGCGAGTGTCAGAGAATTCTTGCCTGAGATAATGTTGCCAGAACTCAGATGATTTGTATTCAATGTCGTGAACAGCATCATCGTAGAGGAACTGAAGTATTCCAGATGTGATAATGCTCATGATGTTAGGTAATAGAGGCTGGTGCTTGCTCGGTTAGGGTGTTCCTTGGACTTGTGTGGAATCAATAAGGATAAGAATTTCGGGCGTTTCTTTTTCTTTATACACCCTTATTTCGCTGGAGGAAGTGACTTCTGCTACTCTCCCTCGTTCCACAAGCAGTATGAATGAGAGCCTATGTCCAAGATACAGTACAGTGTCATGCAATGTGGGACAACAGGACTTGGGTCTTGCCGCAACGCGGACACAGTCGTCACTACCCTCTAAGCGCCGGGCAACGGCCTTCTGGCCATCCCCCGTGGCCCAGGCCGTGTCCCTGCCACTTCGCAAGCGCTCACTTGTGATCGCGCAACACGAGGAGCCAATGAGGCGGCAGGCATTCTATTGCTCTGCAACAGGCTTGGTGGATCTTACCAATTTGAGGCAGGATTCATATGCAGCACGGGAGACCCCGCTCAGAAGGCAAAGGCAATTGGCCAGCTTGAATGAGGTTGTCACACGACCGGGAGCAGGGGTTGCGCTCTTAGCACATTCGATGCCACCCCTCCTCGCCTGGTGACCCTGCATTTGGCTCACCTCGCTGGCGATGGCATGTCGACATGGCGTCATCAGCGCCTCAATTTCTTATCCACCTCGGGCGACCGCATTCCAGCGCGCCCTTAGTAGCACCTCGGTTTTCTGTCCATCTCATAAGTATATTGGCAGTTCTTGATGGCAAGCTCGCGACCCCGCCTTTCATTACCTGCATTCTTACATCTAATTAACCCCCCCGAAATTTCCTCTCCTGTGTGAACTCCAGCAGAGAGGTCTGGAACAGCCAATCAAATGCGGGTGAAAGTTGTGGGACTGGACAGATTCCGAAGCCCTGATTGACTCAAGCGACAGGGGAGGGAACCTGCTCGCCAGGTCGCATAAAGAACCTTTGAGGGACGAAGTTGGCGACGGCAAGATTAGAGGTTAGATAATATTTTGCATGCAGTATTTGCGCTAGTGTATTTTCTCTTCCCATCGGATGAGCTCGCACTGGCGGTGTCTTTGATGCCGATGCATGTGGGGAATCCTTGCGTCGCTGCTTCAGATGGACAGATGGTACGGTGTCGCAAAAAGCAACGAGGGCTTGGGCCATGAAATCTACGGTGAGGTGCATGTACAGTACACACCTGCTGCCCCCATGCCGCGCCCCAGCCCGATGTCGTAGCCTCAATGCAACGCAGGCCCCGGGGCGGCAGTCCTTGTTCACCCTTCATTGGTCAATTCTGTGACGATTTTCTTGTGCCACCTTGTCCGCGGCTTATATTACCACCAACCTCGCCGGTATCCACTCTCTCCGCTCACCTCTGTATTTCGTCCCCGACGCCTCAAACCTCCGTTGGCGACAGCATTCACCACCACGTCTTCAGGTCCTTATTTTCGCGTCCATCTCGCCGGTGACATCCATCTTCTAAAGACTTTACCATCACGTGAGGTCAGACGCTTCGCTCAGACCCCGAGTAGTCTCCCTTCGGCGCAACATGTCTGTTGACTTGATTGAGAGGATTGGCCGTGACCTGGACAAGATTGCAGGAGAACTTTGGAACTTTGACGGCCCAGACAGCGTTATTAACGAGGTGGCGCGGAAGCTCTCGTTGATGAAGTCCCAAATCGACATCCAGAAATCGTTGCAGGCTACTGCAAATTTGTTACGACAGCAGCCAAATGACAAAGCTCTGCCTAGGCAGCAAGCTACGAAAGTGAAACATTTGGTTCGCTTCATCTTTCGGAAACAGAGTCGTGGAGGAGACAGGCACAAGAGACTGCGTGACTTAGATTGCAATGCTTTGAAGTTTTTTGGACTCTCTTACACGGCCGAAGAAATCGTCAAAATGGGAGACGATACCTTTAAGATCCTTCTGGAACGTGGAGTGGAGTTCTTCCAGCGTCGCCAGCTTTCTCGCTTCCTGCATCGGCCGGATATAGACAAAGCAGTTGATGCCAAGTTTGAGGACCCCGATGACGACGGGCTATACGAAAAGTTTATTCAAGGTATTCAGTATGATATCTTAAGTCGGAGTATGACTGACCGTGCTAGATCACACCAGATTCCGGTTACTGATGCGCAAACGGAAACATGACGAAATCGAGAATAGCGACACGTCTGCGAACAGTCAAGTCGCAAGGTGGGACGAGGCTGGGCCAGGTCGGCGTGCGTTGCGCCTCTTCACTAAATGGCAGCGAGCTGACCTAGACAAGCATCGGCAAATGGAAATACAAACTCGGAAGCCGTAAAATACGGAGACGTCTTCACTCTTGGTATTGAAGATGCGCGATACGCTCTGTCCTCTGGCGAAAATGTCACCGAGATATTCCTCACGAATCCTTGGCCCGCAAACCAGCTTGGAAGAAAGCCCTCGTTTCTCACGGCTTGGCTCTCAAAGGACCTGGGCGAATTGTTAAGCAAGCGGGGCCGACCGATAGATTACTGATATCATCTTCAAGGCGCTAGCAGACATCAAAGTTCTCATCAAACATGCTTTAAGTACTGGATAACTTAACGCAAATCCTCTGTCAAATATTCACGCCAAGCTATAGAATGCCAGCTTCTGTAAGTGCATACTTGAGATCCTGAAACGTTTCTAGCCTTGGGTGAGCGTCTCCTTTATTGTAAACCTCATGCCCTGTGCGTGTCTGACCGTGGGTCTCGTTGGCCTGACATACGCGTGGCTGACCGTTCTTTGTCTCAAACTTCCAACCAGTCTGCCTAGTTGAGACACATCCATTCAGATCGGAAGCTTCTAACATGACGGTTCCCTGGGGAAGGACGAGCTCCAACATTCGTGAGGGATGTGGGTCGATGACTTGCAGCCCTACAAGCATCGCCAGATTGTTGTTGTGTAGAAACTGGGCGAGCTCTGGAAGGAAGGTGCTGTCTACTTGAGACAGATCGGGTACAGGACCTGTTTGATACTCGTATGGATGGAAACCATGGTCGGTCAGAACGAATATATGTCCGTGCACGTTGCTAAGATCCATTGTTTGAGTCGTCGTGGCCGTTGCCCAGCGGCATCGAGGTATATCGTGGTTGATTCCGAGTAAGACAGTGCTTTCAGGAATTGTGAAGTGAGCATGGACCAAGTGGATTCCCAAAACTCCTTGAGCGTGATTTCGAACGAAGAGTGCCGCAAGATCGTTTATATGAGACTCGAGGAGTTCGGGTTGTCGTGAATCATCCGGTAATCCGTTATAACTGTATGAGTTAGTTACTGCTGCTACAACTGGAGACCCAGAAATGGTACATGTTTCGGCTTTCCACCAAGTCCTCATCCTCTAGGCCTTTGTTGAGGCCGGGAACAGCCATTCCAACAGCCATGGGTAGTTTGTGAAATAGTTTGTAGGGGGGATGGAATGATGAACACGGCTGGTGCAGGTCGCTTTAGATTGCTTCTTCCAGTGAATGATTACCAAGCGGTGGTTGATCACATGAATTTGCATTTGGCCTGTTGGGACTGATATGGTTGTCTGTCACCAGTACGGGTGGTCTGACCTCCGCATTTCGGTTTCAGGACATGATGGATCGCTGGGTATTTGAGGGGATTTAAATGGAGAAGGCCGAAGTGGGGTCCGGCAGGGACATGTGATGCCAAACTTCACCAGACTAGCCAATCGAAGCTAGGCACCGATCCCCCGTACCGTTTGCGCCTATCCGTGCCCCAGTGCTGAGAAGTTGCCGACCCGTAAAGGTCCAGGCAACATCGCATGACACACAACAAGCCGCCCAGAGCCAAGTAACCGTTAAATGGGCATGATTAAGCTGCCTTGCCACGTGATAGGATGCCTAAGGCAAAGTGTCTCCTAGGCGGATTCAGTCTCCAACTGGGCTGTACTGAATCGCGTGCGCTAGTGCGAGAACAACTTGGCGACAAATGAATCCCTCAGGAGGTACTCGGTAGATCAGTTGCAAAGTTGCTTGAAGCGATGGACCAGACGCCCATTAACGCCCTGCCGAGATGAAAAAACTACATCGGCGGCGGCTGGTGGCGACCCTTGCGACCATTCCCCGCACGAGGTCACCAAATGGCCTGCGCATTGTGGCCTGTGGCGCTGGGGTTCGTGCCGGGCAAGGTGGAGAGAGCGGGAGCGGCGCGGGAAGGGGGAAGGAACCATGCAAGGTATGCTTGCCATCCTGTGTGGCTTGTCAGTTTTGGCTAGCCCCGTCCCGCTTGTGTGGCAGAACCTAGCCAGTGGCTGTTGGGCTACAGTTTCACATTACGTGCTCGTCCACCTTGCTTAACCTCTTGTATTTTTTTTCCCCGCTCAATTTCTCTCCGCCACCTGATAGCGTGCCCTGCATTCCTGCCAACCTCGCCGGTGACGCCGATTCGGCACTCCTTTACCAGCGCCATGATTTCCTGTCCACCGCGCCAGTGACAACAGAGTTACCAGCGTGACTATGCGCGGGCCAGCTGTTTCGATGTCGCGGATGAGAGCGGCGACCATGTTCACTGCCGACCTTTACGGAGTGTGCCGATCTGCTGAGGGTGCAGAACAAAGACATTGGTCGCGACGCATGAGTCCGTGAGTGATGTTGTTTGCTCCGGAATTAACACATAGCTATGAAGTCTTGGTTACACCAAGGGGCTCCTCGAGGCTGCCGCTGAGATTTTTATACAGAGTGATGCCCGGACAGAGCAGACCATCGCCGCCTGGGGATGACAGCCCGATACGAAATCAGAGGTCCAGCTGGGACGGTGTCCGCTTTCAGGATGCCTGATGGCTTGTCCCTGCAGAGCAAGCCCTGTACCGTTCACTAGTGGTCGGTCTCCTTACCGGCGTCTCATATTGCCGCCCACCTCGCTGGTGACCCTTTTTCGGTCACTCAATGTTCCCGCCACCTCGCCAGCGGCCTGCAACCCCCGGTCACCTCGCCAGTGACATCTAATTCTCAGTCACTCAGAACAGAGACAACCCCAACTGTAGCAAATCTCGCTTACACGGGCTGCCATTGAACGCCTCAGTCGTTGGCAGTGCACGGATCGCAGCTGAAATCGCCGACTCTAGCAGGCCCGTCCACGCACGCTGTTGGTGTTTCTGGGGTTGGCTGATTGCCACCCTAGTCAATTCGCGATCGCCCATGCGACAGCTTGCATGAGCGGCAGGACATACTTCGTGTCGGTCTTTTGGCGTTGATCTACTGGGTTGACGGCTGTGCATGGAGGGGCAACACGTCTCTAACATTACTCACGACTTATCAGCCTGGGAAAAGAGTCTATATATATACCCCCTTCACCCTGCCGCCTTCCCTCTAGCTTGAACTCACCACCGTGACCAGTCTCTTGACAGACACGAGACGGTAAAATCCAGCCGTCGGCTCGCACCATCCTGAGACATGGATTCAAACGAGTCAAATATGTATCCTCGCATGGCTTCGTCGAATCCACCGGAAACGATTCCCAACGGTCGCCCTGGATCGTCTGACAGGTAAGCTCCGGCGAGTTACGCGGTGATAAGGAGTGCACCGGAGCAACGAGACCAAACAGTACCAATTGAGCCCCGGCTAAAGATGAGATAGATGTACTCCTGTGCCGCTTCACGGATATCACCGTCGCTCGAACGCTACCCTGACATCTGTGCCATTTGGCGCAAACGAAACTGCCAACTTGTCGGCGCCGCAACCCGGTGATGGCAATACTCCGGCCGAGGCAACTGCTGGTACTTCCGCAATTTTAAACGGCGACTGCTCTGAGACGCAAAGCAATACAGGCAACGAATTCGCCCAGAGGGACGCCACTTTCCTCTCCGATATTCCAGCGAGTGATGTCAGTACAGAATACCTCAGAAATTTGCTCGTGCATGATCCAGTCTTGTCAACGTCCACCAATACCTCAACCTCACAGACCCAAAGACAGTGGCCGGCCAGAGCCCGTGTTCACAACTATGCGATGGGAGCTGTCCGTGATCTGGCCAGATCAGCACCCATTGAAACGTCATCCTCTAACAACTATGAGTTTGGGGCGGTCGGAACTCCAGACCCAGATGCTCAACACAAGTTCAATGAGCTGCTTGCCAGACTTCAAGATGCTGGGGCATCATTGGCTGCAGATGCTTCCAATGCTGTCATGTCGGAGCAGGTGCGTTCTACAATTTCCATTCAAGGTCGTGAACGGTCTCCAGGTCCGCCACTGGGCGCTCAAGATGCCGCCGCAGCAGCCAGCTTGCTGCCGCTTAGTGGGAACGAGTTAAGCAACGGAGAAGTCTACATCTCAGGGCACCAAACAAGCTGCGAAGAAGGCGAAGAATATCTCCGAGAACATCTGGAAGACTCAACCAAGTACTGCCAAGTTGCCAACGAGCACTCCGGTAACAGTCATGGCCATGTCACCTATATGGATCAGATACCGGTGGACGAGGATCTAACGAAACGCTTCCGGGAATTTTTTCAGGATGCTCAGGCCACTTCGGCTCAGCTGCCTCCGTATTGACGCACTTCCATAATGCGGCCGAGCGCAATCGCCAATCATGTTTGACGATTCTTACGGGCGCGCTTGTCGAGCCAGACTGTACCGAGGCGGCTCGGATGGGAAAATTATCGATGCCCTTGTGGTCGCGGACCGAACTCTTGGGGCCAGAGGAGAACGGCCCGCCGCCGCCGCAAGGCAGGATAGGATCATGGGTGGGAAGAGAAGGCAGACCATCATTCGCCAGGTGACCCTAGGCCCAATCGCCTTCTCGAAAGTGTTGAAAGCTGTCCTTGAAGTCTGTGTCATCCGTTTCTTATGAGCAGGACGTGGCTGGCCCCGATCGGGAGTGGACGACCGCTGCAGATACACATGCTTAGAAGAGGTTGGCTCGATGAGTGATATAATCCTCAACGCGTCTAGGTGCTGCTCTCCTGTCTACCATTTATGCCATTGCGACCTCTCATACCACATCGAAGACACTATCTGGCGCCTCAACTAGCCCGTTGCGCACCAGAAACTCAGTCATTAGGTTTAGACGCCACCGCCTGCCCAGTAACGCTGACCAGGCGGCCGTCCCTCAGCTGACACAGAAGAAATCGAGATGATCAAGAGTCATTTGCCACAGCCGCAACTAGTTATTTCGACCTCCACCTATATCGTCGCGGACGGTGACCAACGAACTCTCCTGGCCACGTGTTCGTCGGGGCGTCATCATGGATTCGGAGTACCATTTAGAGGTTTTTGGCCATAGACCGTATAGCTGAGATAAGTTAACGTCCGTTAAACCTGAGCACTGCACGGATTGAGATGCCCTGCAAAACTCACAAAGGCCAGTAGGCATGGATACCCAAGTTGCGGATATCTCCCCTTAACTCCGCCAGAAAGACGGTGATCTTCTCCTCCGACCAGCCAAGACCTTTTTGAAAAAGCCTCATCACCATACCCTCTAGGTTGTTGAGCAGATTGTGCTGTTCCCAGGCCCCAATGACTTTCAAGCGCCTGTCTTTCGGCCAGGGGCTACACGGCATTTTGAACACTTGCTCCGTAACCCCTGTAAAGTCACGCGATTCGAACCACTCCTTCCAGCGCGACGGATCATCCACCGGTGTGCCAAAGGCTGCGCAGGCAACTTCGAGTGTATTCGAAAACTGGCGGAATGCGCTATTTGTTGGTATCGTGTCATCATCCGACATCAGCACGCCGGTCACACAATGGAATTCCAGCCAGCCGCCTGGCTTGAGATGCCTAGATAACTGTTAGGTTAAGGGCAATCAACTTGAAGAATATGGCAAGGCAACTAGCTTGTAGCACTGGTCAATGAGCGCCGGAAAATCCCGAATGGATAAGATGAGGTCGCGGGAGAAGATGAAGTCAGCGGTCTCGTCCCGCCATGTCCATGTCTGCTCTATATCATCCAGTTCAAAACTGCAATTTTGCGGGACCCTGTGTTGCTCCTTAGTATCCATTGGTGGTGACAGCAAAGAGTCGGCCACAATACCAGAGGGGCTGAGTTGGGGCTTTGTCGACTCCGACAACCTGGGCGAGAGTGAGCGTTAGTTCCGCAAATGGGACGCGGTTCTGCGAACCTCTGCACTTGGGTAACGATCTGCTACGTCAATGCACCAAATGCCTGGCGAAAAGTCAACCATTGGTCAGTCAGATGCACCAGGGAGTAAAGGCTCAATACCCGTTCCGCAGCCCAAGTCCAGAATCCGTTGAGGATGCGGCCCAACCGGTGACAAAAAATGGCGCCTGTCTAGAAGAGCGAAGTACTTGGTGTGGCAAATGTCCATACGCTCCAGCTCCTGATCGTCCATTGGGAAGCCATATTCTACGTGCAGGATATTTCAGCTTCGCGGTCAAGGATTTGGGATAGTGTTTGTCCACCTTCTTTGCCGTACACTGCGTATGTCCGGCGTCCCTCACCAACTTCTCCCTGCAGAATTTCTGTGGCGATCGACGTCAAGGAGGACGTGGCACTGCCGAGGTCGCTCTGGAGTGCCTGATTGGTTGTCAGCGGCTAGCAAAGGCTAATGAATCGTGTCCCATCTACCTCATCCTGTTTAGTTTCTTAGCCCATCCGGAGGTTTTATAGACGTAGCCACAGCCGAGTCAGAGATGACCTACCTCATCTGGCGTTATTGTCGCCGTGTTCGAGGAGATGTCGCTCATGGTTGATGCTCCAGCAGAGGCTGGTTGGTTGGGAGGGGAAGAACAACCGACGAAAGATGCGTTAGTGGTAAGTGCAGCTGTGTTCTTTGTATGGGTGCCGCGAAGGGGCTAGTGGCCGCCGATTGGCCGCTGATCATGGGGGGCTTTGACACCAATTCGGCGAATCGGATATCACGTTTCTCGTCCGCGGTATGATCTATCACTTTTTGAGTTCTCGGCGGTCGGCCCCAAGTCGAGCGGACAGGCATCTTTGGCAGCTATCCGGTTTCTCCTCTTTCTCTCCTCTTCGCACATCTCGGGCAGAATTCACTTCGAGGCAACTCCAAGCAAGCACTCACGACTCATGGATGATAACGCCGTCGCAAAGGCTCTTACTGAAGCGAGAGCTCTGGTAGCATGCCTCGAGGACATGCAACAGCGCGGACAGGAATCCGTCGAAGCTTCAAAGCATCTCGTGCTACTGGAGCATGTCGATAAATGCCGCGCAGCTCTAGAGGAGCCCTACGACATCGGAACGCGATGGCTGGAAAACATGAGCGAAGCATCTGCGCTTTTCCTCCTTCTTCGAATAGGTGCCTTTGAACGTATACCGACGGAGAGAAGCATCGCCGCCACAAGCCTCGCCTCGGTATGTGACGTCGATGTATCTGTCATCACGAGAGCTATGCGCATCCTCGTTGCTCGGGGTATATTCACGGAAACGAATGATGATGAGTACAAACACAGCTCCGTGTCCCGCGCATTTGCACCCGAAGAACTTGGGGGCTTTGTGTGCGTTTCCATCGGCATTATGAAGTCATGGATTGCGATGCCAGACTACGTCAAAGCTCACAAGCCTGACGAACTTTTTGACCCGAGGAAAAGCCCGTTCGCATTTGCCGAGGGGCACGAAGGCAAGACGTATTACGAGGTGCTGGAGTTGGACCCGAAAGAGAGGCAGCTTTGGAACCGTACACTTCAGAACATGAACAAGAACTTTCCTGTCTTGGAGATGTTTCCTTTTCGAGAAATGGGAGACAAAGTGCGAGCGGAACCCGAGCGGCCGTTTATTGTTGACATCGGCGGTGGTCGAGGGCAAGCCCTCCTCCAAATACGAACAGAATGCGACGGTGACGGGTTTGGCGGAAGGCTGGTACTCCAGGATCTGCCACTCGTCATAGAGTCGCTACAGCCGGACGATGTTCCTGGCGTGGAGACCATGAGCCACGACATTTTCACACAACAACCTATCAAGAGTGAGTTTTGTCGGCTCTCGTTCGGCAGAGGAATACAGGTGCTGACAGACCGCGTCAAAGATGCCCACATTTACTACATGCGGCGCCTTCTGCACGATTTTTACGACCCCAAAGTCATCGACATCTTGCGGAACACTGCTTCCGCCATGGGACCAAGCTCCCGGCTCCTTATATGCGACATGCTTGTGCCCGATAGGGTCCAAGTTGGAGGGCCGATGACGTTATACTGGCTAGACTTTGCGCTAATGGCCATTGGGGGCAAAGAAAGGTCCTTGAATGACTTTCGAAGGGTGCTGAGCGAGGCGGGCTTGGAGCTCGTCAAAGTTTATAACGCGCCCGGAAGCAACGTAGCCATCTTAGAGACCTGTCTATTGCGTTAATCAGTCGATACTGGCAAGCTAGGAGGCACACTTCACAACCGTCGAAACATTTGCGACTGAACATGTTATCCGGCTACCGTGTCATTGGCTCTGAGGAGGCCGCTTGGCAAGGCGTTCACAGTTCAGCTACGCATGACTCTATAATCTACTGGCATCGTTTCACAACGTCTCATAGCCTTCATTCAGCGCCACTGTGCCGACCGCACCGAATTCGAACGCGTCCGACACGGCACTTCCGGTACATGTGGGGCACGGGTAGCTCGTTATTGCAGTCTTCCCGTCTTGTAAGCTGTAGAAATTGTTGTCAGGTGTTGACGCTAAAGCTCGGCTGTCGTGAAAAGTATACTCTCATAATGGGATTCGGCCCAGGCTGTGAGGTGGGTAACCCAGGCGCCAGTGACAGAAGATTGAAATGCCGGACGTCGAGACACAACGGCGGCAAACTTTGCTCTCAGCCCAATGCTTCTTCGAGGCACGGCTTATGTTGCCGAGGTTCAAAGGTCACAATACGCAATGTAATGACCATCCTGGCGCCGAATGTTGCCAAAGCACGGGGTCCTAATCTACTGCCGATGACCAGAACCTGTTTCGCGATGACAAACAGAGCAAGTGTGATGAAACCCAGGGCATGGACTGCGGAATGGAAAACACTGCTGCCTGCGAGGGAGGGCCACCGTAACCCCACATGTCCCGTTGCGCCCCCAACCGTCAGGGACAAGGCCTTCGGAGGTGTGGTTCCACTGGCTGGGCGAGGCAGATTGCATGACCTTTTAACCTCACAAGGGTTAGACAGTGCGGCACACTACCCCACCAGCTGGGCCAGGGCTGCAGCCCTGCACCCGCCAAGCTTTCCCTCTCAGGCCCCTCCCTGCCACCTCCAGGTACTCCTGTCACCTTCAACAGCCCCGTCCGCTCCCGCATGCCTCGGTGATGGCTCAGTCGGCCGCACCGATGCTTCAGCCAGAGCTAACTGCTCGACGCGGAAGTCCTCTTCCTGTAACACCAGAAACTTTTGTACCACAGTTGTGTGGAGTATCATACCAAAGCCTGCCGTGGGCAGAATGCGCCCAAATGGCTCGCGTGCCCCTGGCGCGGTGACGGACTGGATGGGTGTGAGTACGTCAAAGGACACTGGCCCAAGCGCGACCAAGGGTCACGACGGCTCGCGCTCCAGTGGTCGCCCAGCGGGGGGGCCGGGTACTTGTGCTATGTCAGGGCCCTTGCACACCGCGACCATCAGGTATCTGTTTCACTCTTCCCGCTATGTGGACCGCTAGTGCGAGAGAAGAAGTGGCGCGCGTGCTTGAGTGATAGCTCAGCTAGTTTTTTGGACTGTCCAGCCTGCCTGTGCCGTCCTGTGGGCCCGAGCAATACGACCTAATACAACCTGGCTCGTCCAACCCGCCTCATCCAGACGAGAAGGATGTCGTATTCGGAGAGCGATACATCGTTCCTGCAAAGCCTGCTTTGTTTTCTGTGCAGGTGGCTGGTGAGTGGGGATTTTGAGGCAATTTTGGTTTTTGTCCTGGTAAATTAAGTACCCCTGACGGGCCCGCAACGTGTTTGGCATGCCAGACACCGGCGGTTCTTTGCTTCGGCCCAGACGTTCCATGAGAGGACAAACCTATTTCCAACAAGACGGTGTCAAAACGAGTTTCTGGAGGTTCCATGGCACCTGCAACCGGACACGGGGGTCCGTAAGGACGCGAACGACCTTGGAGGAAAGCATCATTAACAGCGCCGTCGCAGGCGGAAACTCGGGTCTCGGCTTGTTCCCAATTACCGCCCGAGCTTCGCCTCAGAATATGGGAATTGACATGGCCCGACGAGCGAGTCATCGAGCCGGCTCGCCGAACTTGGAAGGATCCTCACTATCTTCGACCAACCGGCACAGTATCCTCGTGGATCGAGGAGGACTTTAGCGTAAGGATACCGACTACTGAGCCGTTGGAGCCATGTCCGAATCCCGTCGCACTCCAGGTCTGCCGCGAGTCTCGCATTCATACTCTCCGCCGATACGTGCCCATACGGCATGGAAGACTCGAAACCGCAACATCTTACATGGACCCTCGGTCCGATTTCCTTTGGCTCAGCCACGACTTCGACTTAGAAATTTTAGACGATTTGCGCAGCGTTTACGGCCATGGACTGACGTGCGTTACAAGGGTATTGGTCGAGGAACTGGGTATCTGGGCAGACGAGGACGTTGAGCGCGTCGTAACGTTACTGCAAGCCTTTGAGCGTCTGCAACTCATTAGAGTTATTCTCGAGGAATACTCTTTCTCTGAGGAAGATCAGCCCATAGCAACCCCAGACGAATACCTGGAAACCGCTGAAAAACTGCTAGCTCGCGACTCACCATTGCTTCAGCGGCACAGCTGGCGCGTTGAATATACCGACCGCGACGGGAACATCTACGGATATTTTGAGCCCAGCTGAGTCAAGTGGGCAGCGGGCGACTGTAACGGTCTCAACTGAGTGTGTTGACAACTAGCTGAGCGACTGCAATGAGTATCCTAAAGCTAAGGAGAAAGGAAAGGAAGAAAGAAAAGAAGAGAAAGTTGCAGAAAGAAACACGAGCTTTTGAGCGGAGCTCCGGAGCTGGTGTGGATCCCGGTCGAGAGCGGAGCCGAGACTCACACGGGCCCAGCCCGTTACAGCGACCTTGCAAGTCGACCATGTGCCGCGCATATATATGATGGCTCAGAACAGCATACTGTCGCCAAGCCATAGCAATTAAATTTTGATGTTAGATAAACGCACTCGGGGGTAGTTACTAGCACTAAGCGGAGACCGTTACGGTTGGGATGTCCAAGTCTTGACGAGCGAAGTATCGCCGCTGCGGGCCAGTCTATCATGTATTGCGAGCCGATGGGCGTTTCGCGACATTGACAAACGCGGCAAATTCAACGTTAACCGCATCATATTGTATTGTACATGCTTCGAAACACGCAATCGCAAGTCACGGCTTCATGAGGCGAGAAATATGCGGCCTCTTTGCCAATACGAATGGTTGGTTTACTGTCGTTCCTCGCAGACCGCAGCAATGAATTTGGTCCACCAGGATGCTGAAGTAGACCTTCGCAGGTCAATCTGGTGAGCCTGGTCCGAGTCCAAGGAGCCACCATACTCGTCTTTATGGGCGCAACGGCGTGCTTCAGCATACACCTCGTCGGCGTGGGGGTGTAGTTCCTTCGCGAGTCGAAGGTAAGGTTGCGGCAAGCTCTACCTGGGTAGCATTTGTATGCCATCGTCGCTCCGTGGTTCAATCGTGACCGGCCGTCCACGATCTTGGTGGCAAGCTCGTGGCGGTATCTGGAGACTGCGGATGGTGCTTTCCCTAGCCAAGTACGAACCGTCAGTGAGGCTTCGGCTAAATGCCATACGTTGAAAGTCATGGCGAATGGCAAGCTTAACACTTCAATCGGCAGCTTGGTCGACGTTCTGCGTGCAATACTGCCGCGGGGTTCAAAGAATCGATGAAGGGCAAATTCGGACGGCGCTTTGTTCAGAATTTGACGATATCGGACAGATCGCAATGTCTTGATGCAGGACGATACCAACGGCGAATGTTGGTGGTATATGTTGTCGTGACTGGCCAATTACTTACTGTTCAACACTGCTTCTTCGCAGACTGACAGCGAAGTACAGTGGAGGAGCGCGACGGGAGAAGATGAGAGCACAGACTGGACATAGAGGGTCTGGGGCATCGGTCCTAGACCCTTCCGTGGCCTTTTTTACCCAATTCTCGTGTGACGCAAGTTTCGGCTCCTCGACACACTGCAGCGGCTTCTACAGTACGATGGAGGATGGACGGCCACGTTGCGGATTGACTCTCCCGCCCACTCAGAAGAGCCATTGTCGGCGCTCAGACGAGGCTGTCAGCGTTGCAGGCAACGTCAACATGGATGTCCGGTGCGATGGTGTGGAGAATCGCGGGGTGAAGGTTGATGGTGTGAAGCCAAGAAGCTGGTGGTGGGCTGAATGACAGGGGACACGGATCCTTGTCTGTACCCCTGTACCACCCTAGCCTTACCCCTTGTCCTGGGCAATGTGCAACAAATCGCGTCCAGAAACGGCTACAGTCCTTCTTCGCCTCCTCCCGCACGTCTTGCGAGCTGCACACCACACATCCTGCGAACTTCAACCACTCATCCTGCGGCCGCTTTGGCTTCACACCACTCGTCCTGCAAGCCTGCATGCTTCACACCACACATCCTGCGAGCTTCACACCACACATCCTGCAAGCCTACATGCTTCACACCACACGTCCTGCGAGCTTCACACCACACGTCCCGCAAGCCTGCATGTTTCACACCACTCGTCCTGCAAGCCAACTTTGCTTCATATCGCACGTCCTGCAAGCCTTCTTTCAAGTGTGTCGCCAGGGGACGAGGACAGGCTTTGATGTTGCCAGGGGCTGAGAAGAGGGTGTCGCCCTGGATGAGACCCGATCCGCGACAGGGTGATCCAGAAATTGCTCCTGTTCTTCCTGTTCACTACCCAGTTCCCCCAAAGCCCTCTGCAAGTTTCATTGCATTTGGTTCGGATCACAGGAAGACGAGTAAGTCGCACTGGGTTTCAATACGTACAGGCGTTTCTGTTCGTGCAACACGCCACTGAACGTCGCACACATTTCATTGTCCTCCCGTATTGTGACATGCGCCTAGTTGCTTCCATCAGCTACATAGCTGCAGCCAGTGCATGCACTCCTGGGCAGAACGGTCACTGGGCCGTCCGCGAGCGCGAGCATGCAGCCGAAGCAGCTGGAGCCTTGGGTATCCGCGTCGAAGACTTGGCAAAGATAAATCGAGTTGATACGACAAGATTGAACAAGATCCACCCGGGCGAAACGTATACGGTCCCCTACGTGGCTTCGCTCGCACCGCCGGCCGTATGGCACATCGAGCCGATACAGACCGGTATTTCCGGCTGTCTGGCACACCTCGAGTTGAGTCCAACCACAACCTTCACAGCCGAAGTGAAAGCAGCGGCAAGCA